TTAAATTAGTATTATCAAACAAATTTATTTTTTTATCTTATTTTTAAGAATAAGTTTTGAAAATTATTTTGTAATGATTTTAAAATATAAAAAATTAAATCTAATTAAATATTATTGTATTTTTTTTACATCATATTAACATAGCTGACAATCATAAGAAAATACCTAGATATAGATAAATTCTTATATAATTCATGGGAAGAAAATTTTTGTAAATATTAATAAATTCCTTGTTTTAAAAGATTAAAAGTATAAAAAATTTAAATATAATATAATTTCTTTTATATATTAAGTATATACATGAGTTAAGATGTTATAATATATTTTATGGAGATGAAATAAAGTGTATTTAAATGTTATTATATGGGTATCTCGTTTGTGAAATCAATGTCCATGGATATTGAATTTGTGGATTTAAAATTATCCTAACTCTACCAGTTATTAAAATCATATAAAGGAAGGGAATGAATTAAAATATGAGAGTTGATGGAAGTTTTTCTTGTATATTTCACCAATTTCAGGTAAGTATTAGAAATTTATCCATGACAAAGGTTTGATTTATATTATAAAGAAAAAAACATGGAACTAAGTAATTGATTCTTGTCATTTAAAAAAAAATCTTAAAAATGTAAATGTAATTTCTGTTTTATATGGAAAAACTTAATAAGAAACCAAAGAAGAAATTATAAATGGTGTTTTCTAAAAAAAATTGAAATTACAATTACACTTAATGGAGTGTATGTATAATATAAAACATAGATAACAATGTAATGTTTTTATAATAAATGAGATTTGTGTAAAAAGATTTTAAAGAAATAAGAAATTAAGTTCTTTGTGTAAACTGACAAAATTCTGTAGGTATAAAGATTTTGTTTGGGCTAAACACATGGTAAGAAAAGGAATCCAAGAATAATGATGTCACAAAAGTTAGGATTTTTGTTTCGTCTAATATTAGAAAAAAAAAAGCTGCATGTTTAATACAACAAACATAAAATATATTAATGTAATTAATTCAGAAAAAAAGTTATAATTTGACAATGACTAACTTTTATGTTTTAAGTCATTTCTCATTAGTTTTATTTAAATATCACTTTAAATTCTAATTTATCTTTATAGTTTGAGGCTAAAATGAAAAGATAAATTAGAATAGATATCATTAATAGTTTTTTCTTTCTTTAATATCATAAAATACAGTCTTTAAATATAAGCTTAGTGAAATGATTAAAATCAGTGAGATTTCATTTTAAAAATGATTAATGAAAAAAAAATGAAGATTTATTAAATCACAATGTAAAATTGTTTATATTGACATCCTATCCGAAATGGTCATATTTGATCAAAATTCTCTTAGATTTGCGACATAATAATCTGTGAGAGTTCCATTTATCTATGTTAATTTTTAATAATCAATATGAATATTTTACTATTTTATAAATCAAATTCTAATATGATATTATATATACAATATTTTCTTTTCATGATATAAGAGGTCTCAAACCCATTGTTACACAAGAGAACATGAGACTATTTTTGTGCTAACATGATCAGGACCATACAATATCCATAAATATGAAGGTGATTTGAGTTTGATTCATACGTTGAATGAATGAAATCAGCTTCAAAAACTAGTTTGTAATGAGGTTGAGAAATCACTTTCATATTTTTGATGTAGTTATGGGTTTAATTTTACTTGAACGTGGATATATTGGTGTTTTCCAGATAAGTTTTCATGCTTAAAAAAAAAATCATAATGTGTAAGAATTTGTTTGATTTAATTTTTTTTTCTTTAGTTTTTAAAATAAGTTGTATAAATCAATTTTAAAATTTTATTTTTGAAAACAAATTAAAAAGAAAATTTAAAAACTATTTTCTACAACATGAGATAAATGAATATAAAAAGTAATGACAAAAATTAAAAAAAAAATTGATAATTTTATAGTTATATAAAGAAGTGATTTAATGTAATTATTGGATAAAACATAAATTTCTATATTAGTGAAAACAAAAAACAATAACTAAAACTAAAAAACAACAACAATTACCAAAAATGTTTTCTAGTTACTAAAAACTAAACAGTAAACAAGCAAACCCTACATATTTTAAAACAAATTGAGTTTTTTTATCAAAATGTTATCGAAAGCTAGTCCCAATGCGAATTTATATAAATTTGCATCAAAATATATCAATAATTCTGTTAATGTCATGCACAAGAATGTATAATCAAAATATAAAGAAAACAATCCCATGAAACGAGAGATTAAAAAGAACCAAAATTATAATTAATTCTTAAAACAATTATTTTAGGGAGACACATTGTATTACTGTTTCAGCTTGACAGGATCATGATGAAGAGAAACGGGTGAGTCAATCTTAAAGCATTTATAATCATCCAATAAAAATTAGAGGCAAGACAGTTTCTTTGTCTTTTGGCAGTAAATGGAGAGGCAGAGCAGAGAAGACAGCAGTCCCGGGATTCCGGACGTTAGACCAGAGAAGCCCAAGACCACGACTTAAAGCAGAAAATCTGCTCTATGTTTGACCGCAGAAAGCTAGCTCCAATTACTAATAACTATTTGCCTTTACTTTCACCACTTTTGTTGGCTTCAAACTCATAGCACACCTCAAACAAAACACGGGAGTAACTCCTACAGACATACTTCTACCTAGAGACATTCTTGACGCAAGAGAAGAATCTTAACAGGAATAGCTGGGAAAGAGAGAAACCATATCATGGACATTTCCACATCCACAGAAAAACAAGACAAGTTGCAAGCACCAAAGGGTAGAATTTTGAAGGAGAAGAGAGCAAAGCTTTACATAATTCGGCGATGCATAGTCATGCTTCTATGTTGGAAGGAGAATCGAGAGCAGTAACGCCGGTAAAATACTTGACAGCACTGACTGTAAAGTTCATATTGTGTGTTTGTATTATTCTGAGGAAAATAAATTGATTATAGCACTACAGCTGTTCTGGGCAAAGAACCAGCAAATCCAGATTGTCTGCCAGAGTGAAGCACTGCATGCATGATATAACCAAAAGCAACAATTGAAGATTGCGTTTGCACTTAGCCAGTGAAAATGAAGAGATGATCTACTATGATTCTTCTTTTCTTTCTGTAAGTTATTATTTCCAACTACAAAAGCAATAAATCCCATAGGAACTATACAGAGTGATTCACCCACACACAAGCACATGTAAAGAGTTGAGTGGGAAAGAGGAGAAAGAAGAAACCTAGGAAGAAAAGGAAACAGCTTAAGCTCAAATTAGTCTCACTCTGACACTGCATGTTCTATGCTTAAAACATATTGTTATACAAGTCTCCATTAAACATATTATAGATATTTATTTTCCATATCCAGCATTGCCAAAAACATGCAGCACTCCACTTAACACTTTTTCCTATGCTTACAATAAGGACACGAAATAAATTTTAACAAGAATTAAGCAGAAAATCTTATCCTCCTCCGAGCATATTTTAAAGCTAAATCTAATCTAAATTGGATATCATAATTCTACTTCCAAGACAGATACTCTTGTGTTATACTTCATTAATTTTACAAACTAAACCAAAATTGAGAAGTCATTATTTTACACTACTTCTGGTCTTTTAATAGGAAGGAAGTTTGTCTTGATTTTTTATTTTTTTTATAAGATCTCTTCCAAATTTTGTTCAACAATTTTTATTTTTATTTATATAAAAATGCTCTTAAGAGATGCATTAGTTAACCAGACTGAAAGAGATCAAAAGAATTGAATCTAAATGGATTTAAAGAAAATTTTTGAAAAATATAAATTAAGAAAGTTAATACTACTAACTAAATTCCTTAAATTTTGTTCCATAGGATAGTGGGTAATATTTTAACAATACCAACTCTTTTTGTATTGCACAATTATTTTACAGTTAAAATAATGATGTGTCAAATGTTGATATAGTCTATGCTAATCTCATTCCTAATGTTAATAGAAAATATTTATGAGTTAAAAAAATTGATTTCATGATAAAATTATTGTGTCTGGATTGAATATCAGATTTTGGAGGTTTAACACAATCCCACGTACAATCCTCAGTAATAAATCTGAACAGAAGCTGTTTAACTTCCTTCCTTTTGTTTTCTATCCTAGCATACTATTATAGTCATTCTAAATTTTGCAAGAACCATGACATCAAATAAAATAACTTCTTTTAGGGTATATTAAAAAAATCATTCATAAGTGTTTTCCCACAAGAACCAAAGTGTTCGAGCTACACTAAATCTCATCTTAAACTTGATTTCTTTCTCTCAGTGTTTACATTTTATTTGATTTGTGGAAGCCAAGGGCAATGATGTATATGTATTCTTTTTATAACTCGACATCTTCCCCTACCCATTCAATAAATCTAAATATTTACCTGAACACAGCAATAATGTTTTATCACATGTCATCTCGTGTTTTTAGAAAATTGAAACCATTGTCTCCAGTGTACCAACATTTCTGTGAGTTGTTCTTGGCAATGTACCAAGACTTAACCCACACTGGACCACCACAATGTAATAAATGAATCAGGACCTAGGCCTAGCTAGAAAACTCGTAATGGAAACAGAGTTCTGTGACAGTACTACAACATATAAACGGTTCGCTTGTATGTACATTAAAACTAAATCCATAACTAATACAAAACATCTAATGATCAATTCAAAGAATTGGTCAAATAAATAAATAAATAAAAACTAGTTCAATTGAAGTGGCGACAATAACATATTCACAACTGCGAGATAAAATAAAAAAAGAAATAAATAGAAAGTAATAATAGAATTAATAGAAATATATAAGCATGTAATAATAATTAATTAATTATATATGTAGACAGGAATAAAATGGCATCACATTTTTTTTTTCTCAAAAAAAAAATGATGAATCCAAAAACTGAATTCCTTACATAACAACAACAACACACGAAAAGAGGAAAAGGAAAAAGGTCTATACAGCGCAGCAGCGGCAGCGACGACGTCGTATGACCTCAAACGGGGAGGTTAGAGACGTCGTTTGCTTTTTCGGCGTTGACCGGGACGGAGGGAGGATCGGCGGTGCTGTTGGCAGCGATGGATGCCGCGGTGGGAGTGGCGCTGGTGGTGGAGTAGTAATCGTCGTCGTCTTCGTCGTTGTCGGGGTCGGAGGTGGCGAGGTTGACGCAGGAAAAGCGCTCCAAGGAGGAGAAGAAGGCGGAAGAGACGGTGGAGCCGAGCCACATGGCCACCTGATCTATCTTCCAATCGGATCCGTTGTTCTCCATCGTCGCCGCCGAATCAGATCTCAATTTCGTTCTTTCGGTCTTTTCTTCTTTTTCTCTTTCGTTCTTCCAACGGAAACCGTGTTTTTGTCTTAGGAGGAAGCAAGGTAGAGAAAGAGACAGAGTTATTAGGAAATGACCCCGTTGCCCCTGGTTTCATTGTTTTTCCTCGCTTTTCTAATTGTGTTGTATAATCCATTAATTAATTAATCCTTTTTCTATTATTGGTCGGTCACATGCTAATTCTGCTCAAGTCTGGACTACGGATAGTATTGGGCTTTATGGCCCACTGGCCACCCTGGCCCATAGTTACTATATTAATATTCTGAATTATTAAATTTTGACTTTACCATCAGATTTTAAATAAAATAAAAACATTAATTTATCTAAAATATATTAATCATTGAAAATAAATAAAAAACACCGCCTTGGCAACTGATGCACGCTTAAGTAATGTAATATCTTATGCAGAAAAATTGTGGATTATTTAATTCATAAAATATAGGATATATTTTTTCTATTTGAATTAATTAAGATGATTGTGATTAATATATATATATATATATATATATATATATATAATATTTAGGTCATCATTTTTTTCTCTGATTTAACATATTTAAAAAAAAATAGCTGTTTCATCGAATTGTATTCGTCTAAACACTTTTAATTAAGTCCTTTCTTATATATGTACGTCTTATTTAGTTATTGAAAAAAAAAATTGTATTTTAGGAATAACAAAACTTCCTTAAATTTATGTGACTACTTAATATAAAGCCAAAAAACATGTGATTCCTAGTGGGTTTAGTAATTTTATTTGGACATAAACTCACTATACATACAATAAAATTTCTTAGGAAAATTAACAAGATAATTTATTAAGCTACTAGTTCCACCAAATAAATAAAGAAGCCACACTCTACTTGCTTCAATGCCCATGTAATACCATAGATTGCCACCATAAAATATAATTGTATTTCTTATATTCTCTTTAAGTGTCACACTTAGATAAATTAATATTTTACGATTTAAAATTAAAAGAATTACTTATTTTTTAATTAAGACATGTTGATAGCCTTAACTTAATATTTTGTTTTTCTTTGCCAAATATTGCTTGCTTTGTTTGCCATACTGTACCGTTAATATTAAATGCCTTATTTGTTGTCATACTATAGATCAAATCCAAGTCTTTTTATTATAGAAATTCAATACTTATAACTTATTTTCATTAACTATCAAAGTTTTAATACCAAATTTTCTTAAAAAGTTTATTTTCTAGAATCTCATATTACATAAAATTATATATAAATTAAGATTAATGATAACTTATATCTTATTTTCTTAATTTAAATATCTTTGAAGACAAATAAGTAAAATTAAAATATAATTTATATTTATATTTTAAAATAAAATAATAATAAATTAAAAGTTTAAAATAAATAATATTATAATATTTAAAAAAACAATAATAAGAATATATATAATTCCATTTCGATTCGAACTTAAAATCATAGAATCTATTCAATCATTAAATTTTCGGTTCTGAGTTTACTATTTCAGAACATCCGATACCAAAATCAATATACTTTATCCGTCCACTCAATTAGAAATGGTTATTTTATGAGAGTTTTTTTATTAGATCTTCTTTATATTACTGGTTTATCTTTATTAACCGATTTAAACACATATAATTGATACTAATCCATGCAATTGAAATGCATAGATTCAGATTACATGTTCTCCCTTGCATTTAAGTCTATTTCGTGATAAATTATGGAATTTTTTAGCATTAATTATTTTGCTATTTCTTAGTAGTTTTAAGCAAAGAAAAAACTATTTTGATACAGATTCTTACAAATATCCAATATACAACTAATATAATATTATAATAATGATTTTAAAATATTTGTATTAATTTTTTATCACTATTATATTAATAAAGTTGAAATAGTGATTGCAAAACCAAACATTTTTCATTACAGTCGACTCAAGTCAATCTCCACGCGTACAACTTGGCAAACTGTCGTGGGAGTTTATATTATCGATGCCTGGAAAAACTCTGGATCAACTATTCCGGAGTTTTCATATTCAAAATTTTAAACTGTTTTCGGAAAAAGTGTTTCGGAACAGACATTCCGGAGGACATAAGAAACACCTTACCGATGACTTGTCTCGGAATAAATTCTATTGTACATATTTTCAACTACTGAGTCCAGAATACATCTAAATTGTATTTCCGGATTACTGCCCCATCCACCCTATCCGGATATGTTGTTCTGGAAAACACTAGAATAAAAATTTTCCTTCAGAAAGTCACCTTTCAGAATTCCCCCACCCCAAAATGAAAAGGCAAACCGACTTAGTTAGGTTGCCGCCTTGGTTGTGGTCGACAAGTCCTCGAAGCAGACAACTACACTCAGTCAAGCTCGTGGTAAGAAGGTGGGATCAGTGCAGAAAGAGATACTCCACTAAATAATAAAGTGCAACAAGAAGAACCCGTTTGGTGCAAATACAAAGAGCACCCACTCAATTATTCTCCATACATCCACTGAATGTATTTTTAAGATCCAGCCAAATCAAATCTTAAATACATCCAATTTCTACTATAAATTCTACTATTTCATATCTGTCTCCCGGAAGGAATTATATTTAAGTACAACTCAAATTCCTTTTGTTGTAAAGGATATAAAATACTAGTTTATGCCGTTTTTTTATTTTCTGGTTGCTTTGGTTCGCATCATTCATCCTAATCTTGAATATTGTTTCACTTTAATGTTTGTAAGCATTAAAACTAAATAAAATAAATACAAGTGAACGCACGAATAAACAGAATAAAACAAAGCTCAAAAGCTTATAAACCCCTAAAACAAATTAAAGTATTTATCTTTAATATTTTGGGCACCAAAAATAAGAGTTAGGCAAACTCTCAACTTCCGCCTGTTATAAAAATTTTAAGACTCAAATTAACCTAATCTACTAAATCATTCCATTCAATGTTACCGTTTAATCAACAGGCACGAGACAAGTTATAGCGATCGTCCTTAGAGCTCGTCGTGAGAATCATCGTCGTCCTCGCCTGATGCACCACCTGGGGCACCTCCTGTTCTCTGATACACAGCGCTGATGATTGGGTTGCAAACGGCTTCCACCTCCTTGAGCTTCTCTTCATATTCTTCTTTCTCCACACTCTGATTGTCATCAAGCCATTCCAATGCTTCCTTCACTGCGCTCTCTATTTTATCCTTTTCATCTCCCTCCAACTTGCCAGCCAGCTTGTCCTTGTCACTGACCTGGTTTTTCATGTTGTAGACGTAGGTTTCAAGACTGTTCCGAGCATCAATCCTCTCCTTCACCTTTTTGTCTTCCTCCGCAAACTCCTCCGCCTCACGCACCATTCTCTCGATTTCCTCCTGACTCAGACGTCCCTTTTCATTTGTAATGGTGATCTTTTCTGATTTCCCAGTGCCCTTGTCTTCTGCCTTCACATTCAGGATCCCATTTGCGTCAACTTCAAAGGTCACTTCAATTTGAGGGGTACCCCTTTTCAATCACCACATAACACACGAATCAGTTACAAACATCAATAGAAGCAACATTTCGACAGCACACTAGCATCATGAAGGCAGTTAACATACCTTGGAGCTGGAGGAATTCCTGACAGATCAAATTTCCCAAGCAGACGGCAGTCCTTTGTGAGACTCCTCTCACCTTCGAAAACCTACGTGTTAAGAAAAGAAATTGAATTACCGAAATCTACTTTTGGATTTAGAAGAGAAACGAGCATCATGCACTTTAAAGCAATCGAACAATGGAATCATACCTGAATGGACACAGTACTCTGCTGGTCCTGGTAGGTGGTAAACACCTGAGATTTCTTGGTTGGAATAACGGTGTTTCTGGGAATCAACTTAGTCATCACTCCACCAACAGTTTCAATTCCAAGGGTGAGGGGAGCCACATCCAGGAGAAGGATATCTGGATCCATAGTGCCACACAACAATTAGAAAGGGTAATACTAACCAATTTAATTGTTCTATGAATAATGCTTCTAACTTCTGGACAAGTAATGAAAAAATAAGATTGCAGACTGCGGTACCTTTGGTTTCTTCACCGCCCTCTCCGCTCAAAATGCTTCCTTGCACTGCAGCACCATAGGCAACTGCTTCATCAGGGTTGACACCCTTGTTTGGCTCTTTTCCATCGAAGTAGTCCTTCAAAAGCTGTTGAACCTTTGGAATCCTTGTGCTTCCACCGACGAGAACAATCTCATCAATCTGACTCTTCTGTAAACCAGCATCTTCCATAGCCTTCTTCACTGGTCCCATTGTCTTCCGGAACAAGTCATTGTTCAACTCCTCAAACCGTGCTCTGGTGAGTGGCTCAGAGAAATCAACACCATCAAAAAGTGATTCAATTTCAACGCGGACCTGATGCTGGCTACTGAGAGATCTCTTTGCACGCTCGGCCTCTCTCCTCAGCTTGCCGAGTGCTCTGTTGTCCTTGCTAATGTCCTTTCCGTGCTTCTTCTTGATCAATTTAATGAAATACTCCATTATTCTCTGATCAAAGTCCTCACCTAGTACGGGAAAGAAGACATAGCATGCAATAACATCAGAGGAATATTTTGTGGAAAAGATAGTCTTTCTTCTACATTATAATTTCATCATATTAAGACTCATTAGAAAAATACCTCCAAGATGAGTATCTCCATTTGTAGCAAGAACCTCAAAAACACCATTATCAATTGTCAAGATACTGACATCAAATGTCCCACCCCCAAGATCAAAGACTAGAATGTTCTTCTCGCCACCCTTTTTGTCTAATCCATAGGCAATGGCAGCTGCAGTGGGTTCATTAATAATTCTAGCAACATTGAGACCAGCAATGACACCAGCGTCCTTGGTAGCCTGCCTTTGAGCATCATTGAAGTAAGCTGTGTATTTGAAAGAATAAATGTGAGAAATTATAATAAAAACAAAAGCAGGATGAATTGAAAACAATCAAGATTACAGGAGTAATATCCTGATTTGTTCCAGTTACCTGGGACAGTGACCACAGCATCATGAATTTTCTTTCCAAGGAATGCTTCCGCGGTTTCCTTCATTTTAATCAAAACCATGGCGCTGATTTCCTCGGGGCTGAACACCTTGTTCTCACCATCCTTAATTTTCACCTCTATGTAAGGTTTTCCATCCTTGTTGACAATTTTATAAGGAACAAGCTTCATGTCTCTTTGAACTTCCTTATCTTGAAACCTGAAACATGATAATGGTCAGACACCTTTATTCACATCAAATTTTACAGACCTGAATTAAAAACTTGAGGATGCCTTACTTTCTTCCAATAAGTCTCTTGACATCGAAGATTGTCCTTTCGGGGTTTACAGCTGCCTGATTTTTGGCAGCCTCCCCAATGAGTCTCTCACTGTCGGTGAAAGCAACCCATGAAGGGGTGATACGGTTACCTTGGTCATTGGCTATGATTTCAACGTGGCCATTCTTGTAAACACCTACACAGGAATAGGTCGTTCCAAGGTCTATTCCAATAACCGTCCCCAACTTCGTCGCCTCCTCTTTCGCAATCGAAATAGCAAACAGACATCCTGGAATGAAATCTCTCAAAGGTAATTACAAGGTGAACTCTAACTCGTTAATTGATGATAAACTGAACCGCGTAAAGTAAGTAATCTCAGTCATTCATGACAATATAAATAGTTTACATTACATATATGCATGCACAACGAATCATGAATTCGATGAAATATCAATAATTGATTTCCTCATCAACAATATAACTTAATTACTCTCTCACTAACTTTGGTGACGGAAAGTCTTATTCTAAAAGGAATACATAAGTTATTTTAAGGAATGACTACAATATTCATAAACGGCAAATATGTTTACAATTTGCATCATAAGAAACATAATCGGTATTAAATAAGAATCATGCATCATGAGAAATGACGAGTAATCTGCGACCAAGGATGCGAATTATTAGATATCAGTTTGCAAATTACATTACAATACAAGAAACTAAATTAATAAGCATGCTCTATAATTAATTTACTGTTGCATGAAAGATACGAGTTAAAAGTTTCTGCAGCATCCGTTGTGGCGAAATTAGGAAAATAAAATAACCAATATAACGATGACACAAATCAAAACAACGAGTGATCACAGTCAACGCGTTTGTAGCATCCAAGAAACGGCGAAAGAGGCATGCTGATAATATTCACTAACTTTAATATTTAGAGACACAGGAATACGAATGCAGTGATAAGAACGTGAATCAATTAGGGTTAGGATCTCATCAGATCCATGAAAACAGGGGATCCAAACAAAGAATCACAGAAAAGTTGAAAGCAATGGCAGTGAAATGGATCTGGCTACATTGGAAAGAGACAGCAAAACAATGAGATCTGATCAATACCTAAAGAAACAATGGCGAGAGGAAGCAAAGACCCGCGTGAAAACGAGCGAGCCATGGTGTCAGTTATTCTTCTCCTTTGTTGTTGAGTTCACTAGGCTCTGCTTCAGCGCCATTTATATATAGAATTCATTCGAAAAGTTCGAGCGTCACACGTGGTGACGTGGACCAATTGCGAGTCCTGAAAGGATGGTTTGGCCAATAAAATTCGTCCTTTTGCTAGGAAACACCTCACATGCTATTTACCCCTCTCATTATTTCGTATTGAATTTTAGTCAAAAATAAATGTTTCTCTATGGACAAATAACTCTAATAATAAATAGAGTTAAATGCATTCTTTTTTATTTCTCTATGGACAAATAACTCTAATAATAAATAGAGTTAAATGAATTCTTTTTATTTAATTATTATCATCGTATCATTTATTTTTTAATTTTCAAAAATTTTAACTGCTATTTCCTTAGTTGTTTAAATAATGTTCACATTATTTAGAGTAAAATAAAAAAAATAACAAAAACATTAGAAGTGAGATAAAAAATCGATGCCAAACAAATTTTAGTAGCAAGGTTTCCAATGGATTAATTTTAAAGGAAAAAATAAGGTAAATTAGGATAAAAAAAAAATTGTACCTAAATTAAATTAGATTTATTTTGATTGAGAGCAAGATTTACATAAGTTTAAGTTGAATTAGTTTATAGATTTGTGAACTAACCTATGGTATAAGATAATAATAATTTTAAAATAAAAATATATTATTTTATTAAAAAATAAATTATTTATTATAAATTATTTTGATAAGAATTTCTTAAAAATGAATATTAAAATAAATTTTATAATTATTTATTTTAAGATTTAAGATTATATTTATTTTAAATTAATAAGTTATTAAAAATAAATAATAATAATAATAATAAATAAGTTTTTTATTTTTATTTTGAGGTTGAAGGGATATATTTTTTTTATAATTTATATATTAAATAAAAATAATTTTTATTAATAAAATTTTAATTTTTAAAATATTTTTTATTTAATTTTTTTAATTATATATATATATATATACACTAATATTTTAAAAATAATTTAGGTCAAAATAGTAAGTCAGTTACGGTTAACATTTTTTTCTCACTTTAAAACATAAATCATGTTGAATTATCAAATTTGTTTATTTGACTCATAAGTTACAGTGAAATTAAACTGAACTACTCATTTTGGTATTTCACTTATTTAATTTGTTATAATTTTTTTATACTATTTTTTATTTTTTTAATGTACATTTGATTTCTAAACTATTTTAATATTTGTTGTCTTTCCATTTTTTAAATTTATTATTAATCCTTTTATTTTTTAAAATTTATTAATTTAATAGTTTAATTTTTACAAATATGATATTTTATTATTTTTATATCTAAAGTAATATTCAGTGACGAATTTTATCCTTACACAAATAATAAAATGGCTAAATTCATAATTTATGTGATTTTAATATTTTTTATAGTTAGTTTTAATATTTGGTAATTATTTTTTATTGTTATAAATTTGATTGAAAAAATAAAATTTACATTTTTATAAAATCATGGATTAATTAGTTGTTGTTTTTAAATATAAAAACTAAAATTAAATTTTAAAAATATATAAATAACGTAGTTAACCTTATGAAGTATAAGTTACTTTACAAGTGATGGATGATTGGTGATAATTGACTAACATGTGGGTGGGTAAATTACTCTCAAATTTTAAATCCTGAAATATATAATAATTTTGTAGGTTTATTTATATTTATCCCAAAATTTATAATAATGTCATAAAAAAATAAAAATAAAATATAACTTTAAAAGGTATTTTTATTTATTTGACTATATTTTATTAAATAAAATTTTATCCAATATATATATATATATATATATATATATATATATATCAAAGTAAATTTTACCAAATAAAATATTTTTTTCTTGTTAAATTAGTTATTTGTGTCATTTTTTTTTCTAAAAGGTTCTAGTTTCAATTTCGTTTACTAACCAAAAAAGTTTGTAATTTTGACCAATTTATTATGTAAATTATTTATAACTAATTAGATATTGTTAAAGTGCATGTCTAAATTTGTTATATTATTAATTTATTTAAAATTTTTTTATTTATTTTTAAGACACAATTACATTCATTTTTCACTTATTATATCATAACATTTTTCTCTCTACCTTTTTTAAATATATAAATGATAATAATTATTTTTCTTATATTATTTATTTTTATAAAACATATATAACATTTCTTTATCTAATAACACCAAAAATAATTATAAACAATAATTCTTTTATATATAATATAAATTATGTAAAAAAAAGGTTCCGTAAAGAGTAGAACTTGAATGGACCAGTATATGTGGACTTGTGTCCATATACCCACTCCTAATACAAGTTAATTATAACATACTACTCTAAAAAAAAAATTCCCAGTATATATTTTTATATAAGAAAAAAACTTGAATGATTAACTTGGTCAAAATAAATAATATTAATTTAATTTTATAGCATCATTTATAAGATGAATTTTACATTTTATTTATATTATATATAATCTTCAGGTACTTTATTCCTACATGAAATATATTAATCACAACGTATGAAATAAATTTGAAATGTCTTATGTTAGCAAGTTAATCACTAAACCTTGACATAGGCGCGATTTACTAAGTTGTTGAAGTCTATTACGTGCCAAAAGGGAACGAAGACAAACAAAGAACCCGTCCAAGGCTCAGGGAGAGAAAAACGAGTCCAACCCAACCAAACCCCACGCATAATCTGCGTAGTAACTTCGCAGAATCGAAGCTAAGTTCTAAGCACACACTATAATTTGAAAAGCCCGTCGCGATTTTCACTACAACCATTGTAATCTGCGACGTTGAGAACCCCAAATTATTTACCAAAATATCTTCTGTTCTGCGATGAGGCTCTTAAAGGTTGCCACATGCAGTCTCAACCAATGGGCGATGGACTTCGATTGCAACTCAAAGCAAATCAAGGAGTCCATAGCCAAGGCTAAAGAAGCCGGCGCCGCCGTTAGGCTCGGTCCCGAACTCGAGATTCCTGGTTATGGCTGCGAAGACCACTTCTTAGAACTCGACACAGTTAACCATTCGTATGTCTCTTTTCTTTTTCTTTATTTTTATGTTTCACGTAGGATTATGTTATGTGTTTTGATTCTGATGAAACTGTGAATTGGCTTCGTTGCTTGCAGATGGGAGTGCTTGAAAGATTTGCTGCTTGGAGATTGGACTGATGGCATTCTGTGTAGCTTCGGCATGCCGATTATCAAAGGTTCGGAGCGCTACAATTGTCAGGTCTTATGTCTGAATGGGAAGATTATCATGATACGACCGAAGATGTGCCTTGCCAATGATGGCAATTATAGAGAACTTCGATGGTTCACAGCTTGGAAGCAAAAAGATCAGCTTATGGATTTTCAGTTGCCCTTGGAAATTTCTCAGGCTTTAGGCCAGAAATCGGTTCCGTTCGGTTATGGGTTCATGAAGTTTCAAGACACGTAAGTTATAAATATCTTTAGTTATTTTAGTTTGAGTTTAATATGTACGTGTTGCATCGCTTTTTTTAAGGTGATTATTGTAAAAGTGTACATTGATTCAGTGAAATTATATAAACCCTTTACATTATCATTGTATATACTATCTACTCATTTAGTTTTCTGTTTCATTTTTATTATTACTGAGAAGTTATGTCACCAACATGGTGTGAGATGGTGGATAGATAATTTTATCTCTTAAACATGTGGTCAGAGTTTGATCCTCAGCCTCATAGGTAAGAAAAAAGTAGGAAAAGATAACCCCTTAAATGAATTTTATACCTAGAGAAATCAATCCTTGCCTCTTGTATGAGAAATACCATAGGTTCACCTCTCCCTATAAAAATTGTGTCCTTTCCACTTCCAATAAAATCACATGTATGGTTTTGAAGTTATGCTAAATCATCGGTTAATGATAAATCCTGAAATTGAACACATTATAGGTTTATTCGACAGTGTTTTAAGGTTGACATACTCATCAGCGTTGCATCATGCAGTGATTACTTACCTGGACATTCTTTCATGTACCTAAGAATTAGTATGTTTCAACTATTGTGTTATGTGTTTGCTTGTATTTCATTTATTTATTGTATTTCATTTATTTATTAAGTGCTTGCAAGTTTTAGTAAGATGTTTATCAAGCGCTAAATATGGAGCATTTTCCCCCTTTTAGAGCTATAGCTGCTGAAGTTTGTGAAGAGCTTTTTACACCAGATCCTCCTCATTCTGAGCTTGCATTGAACGGAGTTGAAGTGATTATGAATGCAAGTGGAAGTCACCACCAACTTAGGAAGCTTGACGTTCGTGTTCATGCTTTAATAGGTGCCACTCATACTCGCGGAGGGGTGTACATGTATAGTAATCAACAAGGCTGTGATGGCAGTCGCCTTTACTATGGTAGAAAAAACTTTTATTTCTGGAAGTCTGTATAAGGGCATTTTAACTTCCATTTAGCTTGTTCAGATTTCATTTAAGTAGTTTTTTTTTTCATTTGTCTACAATTCATGGTCTTTGCAACAGATGGCTGTGCCTGTGTTGTGGTAAATGGAGATGTCGTTGCTCAGGGTTCACAATTTTCTTTGAAGGATGTTGAGGTTGTGGTTGCTCAGATAGATCTAGATGTGGTATGTATTGCACTATATCCCATATATCAATGTACACTATCACTAAAACTATCAACAATTGACGTTGGATTTGATTGCTTAACTCATTCTGTGAATTGGTAGGTTGCAAGCCTTAGAGGATCTTTAAGCAGCTTCCAAGAGCAAGCAAGTTGTAAAACGAAGGTTCCTTCAGTGGAAGTACCTTACAGTCTCTGTCTTCCCTTTAACCTTAAAATATGCCTATCTCTCCCACTTAAGGTTAGTTTATTTTCATATATTGAGTTGCAAATTTGAAGATAGTTCAAATTTATGACATCTTGAATTCTTCTTTAACCACGTTACTGCTGCAATCACTCAGGCATCCAAGCTGCTAAGTTGAATATGATTTATTCATTACAGATAAAGTATCACACTCCTGAAGAGGAAATAGCATTTGGACCTGGTTGCTGGTTATGGGACTACCTAAGAAGAAGTGGAGCATCTGGTTTTCTGCTTCCTCTTTCTGGTGGAGCAGACAGTTCCTCTGTTGCTGCAATTGTTGGGTGCATGTGCCAGCTGGTTGTGAAAGGTAAGTTCAAGTGAAATGAGAAGTGTGGTTTAGATTCATGCATACTTTTTATTTCAAATCAACTTGTGACAGTATTTGGAAGCAACACTATTGCATTTATCATCCTGGTTATTTAGGAATATAGATCTAATTTATCACTTATCTAGCTTATGGTATGTATGAACTGTATAAAAATCTCAGGGAAGGATAGTTAATTGTTAGTATAAAATTGATTGACAGCTTAACTAGTTGGAAAAGTAGACCTGAATATTCATGGTTCCTTCTTGAAAATCCTGCATATATGGTGGCCTTTTATAACTTCAGAGTGTTCAAATTGCAAAGAAGCTAAACTGTCATATGATGGCTGATAATAAAATTGAGACGACTAATTACCTCCTGTTTATCTTTTCAATTTTGTACTTTCATGTGGCAAAGGTGGTAAAGACATAGAGATTTGTAGTCTTGGTATCATTAGCTAATGGGTCATATATGCCTGCAGAAATTGCAAATGGGGATGAGCAAGTTAAAGCTGACGCAATACGTATAGGGAACTATAAGGATGGCGAGTATCCTACAGACAGCAGAGAATTTGCTAAAAGAATATTCTATACCGTGTACATGGGATCTGAAAACAGGTAAGGGATAAATTTCTGTCCCGTTTCTAATGTTATACAATATTTAGCCGTATCTCCCAAAGTTTCTATCTGCTATATTCCATTGATACTCCATCAATACTCGTAGAAGAGGTGTCCGTAAACCCATTTATTTTTTATATTTTTTTCAACCACTAATGATTTTGGTTCTTATTTATTTCACTCCATTTTGTTTTCAAAATCCCCAATGGTGAACAAAGTTGATTATTTTTGTCAATGAAATATAATGATGATATAGCATATGTTTGACCAGTATGCTCATAGATTTCCCCTTCTAAAATATACCAGTATCTTGAAATTCGAAATCTGTATATATGCTTTCTGTAATCCTGGATACCTGATCTAACGCTACTATTTATTAAATCCCATGTGCTCTCTTATGAGATTGAGAGATGACATTTTTGGAACTACTGCAATCATAATAGTAGTGCACTATTATGCAGTGTAAAACACGGAAGGCTAAAGCCCTTGATTACCAGGGTTTGTTTTTCACTTTTCCTGTATTGAGAAATCATTTCATTGCATCAATCAGTTTTATCACTCAGAATGACTCGCCAAATAAATTACTTGAGTTCAACTAAAATTTCTTTTGTTTCAGTTCAGAAATGACTAAGTTGCGAGCCAAGTTGTTGGCTGATGAAATTGGTTCATGGCATCTTGATGTTAGCATTGATGTAGTTGTGTCTGCCTTTTTGTCATTGTTCCAAACACTTACTGGAAAACGACCACGGTATAAGGTAAATGAAGCGTGAACTTAAGAGTCTCTCAATCATAACGGAAACTTCTAGAATTCTTTAATCTATAATGTTGTCAATCACATTATATTTGTCCACAAGAGTATGTGGATATTGTAATAGATTTCCATATCAGGATGTCAGACTAGTGAAATAATTGTATAGCATCTTCATGAGGAATCTCACTTTTCTTTCCTGACTAAAGATTCGAAGCATCTTATATATTTCATGTTTCTATTTCATGGTAGTCTTGTCATTATTTGGATGGTTGTTTTTCTACAGGTTGATGGTGGATCTAATGTTGAGAATTTAAGCTTGCAGAACATTCAAGCTCGAATCAGAATGGTGCTAGCTTTCATGTTAGCATCACTCTTACCTTGGGTTCACAGCAAACCTGGATTTTATCTTGTCTTAGGGAGCTCTAATGTGGATGAAGCATTGCGCGGTTACTTGACCAAGGTACCTCTATTTAGCTTTGAATTTTACCTCTTGCCTTTCTTTATCAGGGACTGTTTGGGGTTGAAGTAAATGCTTTTCTTCCCTTTGTTCTTTACCCTAATTACAAAAATTCAACTTATTTTTACTTTTTATTCCTGATTACAAAGATTTATACAAAAAAATTATAATAACACATCAGGAAACTAAGGTGGTTTTTTCTGTACTTTCTCGTATCTGTGGTCCATTTCACCATTTTTATCACAGCTTATCTCTTTTTACAGTACGATTGCAGCGCAGCAGATATAAATCCTATTGGTAGTATAAGTAAGCAGGACCTTCGGGTATTCCTGCGATGGGCAGCCACCCATCTTGGTTTCTCATCTTTGGCAGATATTGAAGCAGCTCCACCCACAGCTGAACTGGAGCCTATACGGTCTAATTACAGTCAGGTAGTGTTGTGTTATATTACACCATTCAAGACTAATCTTGAAACATTTTTGAACTAATTTAATTGTTTTTTTAAATTGCAAATGCATATAAATGTAATACAAAATTTGGTATATTTGTGAGTTTGGAATTTTGCTTAAAGTGGGACAGAGGGTAACCATAACAATACAGAATTCAATTAGTCCTTGAGTTTGTATAGGTTGGGCAATTTAGCCCCTGAATTATACAAACCCTTCACAAGTTTCTATCATTATCTGTAGTTTTTATAAAAATGTAGGGAAGCTTCTTCTTTTCTTTTTTTTTTCAAAATTATAACAAAATTAACCATGAGAAAATGTTGAAGCTAACCAGGGTGTCCTCACATCTTACAATTGCCTCAAAGCAGGGCGAGAGAAAGCCTTAGATATTTGACTTCAGCAGTGCTCTATTAGTTTTTGCTTGATAGATATTTTGATTGTCTTTCATTTTACTTGGTTTTATCTATATACCATAGTAAATTGTTTATGATCAAGTTTTAAAAATATATATTCAGACACATCATTCTTTGTTGAACAGCTTGATGAAGTCGATATGGGAATGACTTACGAGGAACTATCAGTTTATGGAAGACTGCGGAAAATTTTCCGTTGCGGACCAGTTTCCATGTTCCAGGTTTATTTCATGCTTCTCCATTCTGTCTTAATTATGTCTTTAACCTTTCACTTCTTTTTTCTGTCATATGATAGTGTGATTGAATGGGATGGGATATCGAGCAGGTGGTAGTACGATGCGTGAGCATCCTGTAATGTAATATCTGTTGGGCCAGAACTAATAGGGGATAACACAGCCAAGAAAAGTGAAAAACCCTATTAGTTGTAGAACTATAGCTAATTTACTTGCAAGTCATTTGACAGTGCAAGTAGTTTCATTATTCTACAAGGCCATCCAAAACCCTTTTGTGATTGGAAACTTCTTGACAGTTTACTTTTATTAAAATCTTATGTGTTCTTGATGAGCTTTAATTTGCAAAAGCTTTCATGAAATAATAAAAACAAAGCAGTCAACTCTAATCTAATAGACTCTTCCAAACAGGCAAATTATTTCTCTCAATGAACAGTGCAGCTAATATCAGCTTTTGATGAGTCCGGGTCTTTAGTAGCCTTTTTACAACATATATGGTTATGGTTGTAGTAATAAAAGGTATCTATTTACAACGAAAGGTCAAAACGTAGCATGGTTAGCTACTTTGCTTTAGGGGAGGTCAGATAATGAAAAAGCAAAGAACAGTGCACGATACTTAAGTTAAAGAATGGCCAGTAGAAATCTACTCCATGTATCTCAAGTCCTACTTGACTAATTACCAGAAAGAACAATTACTGTATTTGATATTGTGAACTCAAAGGAAATAAACTTTTGACATCGGAAGCTTGCAGTCTGAGTAAATTTTGTAATTCATGTTTGTCTAAGTTTACTTGCTAATCATAACTTGTTTTTGTAATTTTCTGTTGTAGAATCTATGCTATAGATGGAGTGCAAGATTGACTCCATCACAAGTGGCTGAAAAAGTCAAACACTTCTTCAAGTATTATTCTATCAATAGACACAAAATGACGGTCTTGACACCTTCCTACCATGCTGAGGTGTGTAGTTATTATCACTTCAAATCAGGATAGCTATCCATTTTCCAAGGATTTTGGCTTGTTCTTATATTTTTTTGTTGGCTAATGAAAGTTAATCTTTTAATCAACTTGCAGAGTTATTCACCAGAGGATAATAGGTTTGATCTTCGCCAGTTTCTCTACAATGCAAGATGGCCATATCAATTTAGGAAAATTGATGAAATTGTGAGTGAATTGGATGTTAAAGGTGCTAAAGATTATGCAGTTCATGACACAGTGACAGCTACATCAAATGGTGTTGGTGGGATGGGAGTTGCTTCAGCTGGTTCAGGAAATCCGAAAGCTGGATTCTAACCAGTCAACCACTCCCCTAATAAAATGAAATAAATAAATAAATTATAGATTTCCAAACGCAGGATTGATGAAATTAATTTTACCTTTTCTTCCTAGATATTATTCTCTCAGTGTAAAAATATTTTTAATTAGATAATCATGTTTCCCCACCGAATAAAGAGGAAAAATGATGATTTGAAAAAAAAAAAGGAAGAATTTTTAAAGTTTGATATGGCGTAAAAAATAAACAGAATTATGAAAAAAAAAAAAACCTATAAAGGGATGATGGTAACATTCTTATAAATTGAATATGACAAGAGTCATTAGCAGAATTGTTATGTGACTTGGATTGTTACTGCATTTTAACTAAAATTGGTTTAGCTAGGAAACCATGTTTAGGAAAAATTGTCTGAATGCACTCAACCACCTCCTGCCAAATTTCTTTGTCCATTGTCAGGACCAGCTATTTCAAGGCATCATGTCCATAACTGACGGAAAATGTACTTTAAACTTTTATAAGTGATTTACAACTTTAAATAACAAGTGACAGTCAATGTTGGTAAACCAAATTTGTGATTTCTGTGTCGTAGCGAAATAAATTTAAGGTTTTGGTTGAATGTTTAATTTGGACATGGAATCGTAATTAAAAATACTACTTTACTTAAAGAATAAAAGTTACTTTATTCCAAATATTTGACAATAGGTAGGAGGGAAATATATCTTTCGTTATACCAAATATTGAGAAATGATTAAATCAATGTACCTGTCTCTATTAAATATGTTCTAAACTAAGTATTTGATTTTAACAATGATTCTAGTAGTTTTGAAAGTTTATAACTAAACCCCAGAAATTAAAATTATTATGATTTCCTTAATTATTGCTGCAAGTGCCAATTTATAATCTTTTTCATTCAATTATATCAATAAAATAAATGTTTTCTCAAAAGTATTTATTTCTAAATGCCTTAGTCACCGTTGAATGATCAGGTGAGGTAATATCATTGATGGATAGGGACATAAAAGAATTTGAGGAATTGTGGTAAAACACGTCAAATACAGAGATCTAGACAAGTAAACTAGGACGTATACATCCAAATTGAAAATTTGACTCATTTTCTCAAAACAAAATAAATAAATTTCAATATTGTCATAAATCATTAACTTCTATTCGATTGAATCTCATTTTCGACTCCAAGAAACACAAGTAAAATTCACGTCCAATTTCCACACTGAACTTTAAGTTACTCTGTTCATTTTCAAAATATTCATATTGCCCACTTTTTTTTTTGCTCTAAGGCAGAATCAATCATTCACTGGCATAATAATGGCCGTGAATTTTCATAAATGGCATTAACAATATTAAGTGTTAGTACTGCATCTCTGTTGTCAAAGACGCGCGACATAGGAACGTCAGAAAAACAACATGAAGGAGCAGAAATGAAAACCAGACACATACAGCGGAAAAAGTTTTATCGTAAAAACAAGAAAAAGTACAAGTAATTTCACAAGTATCTTATCTTCGCCACAAAAAAGCAAGCGCAGGGGAAATTCTTAATTCCCAGCTATCATAAGAATTAACAGACTCCAACTAATCTATTGTTTCTCGTCATAACTAAAACAAACATCTTTAGAGTTCGTCGTGAGAATCATCGTCGTCCTCGCCTGATGCACCACCTGGGGCACCTCCTGATCTCTGATACACAGCGCTGATGATTGGATTGCAAACGGCTTCCACCTCCTTGAGCTTCTCTTCATATTCTTCTTTCTCCACACTCTGATTGTCATCAAGCCATTCCAATGCTTCCTTCACTGCGCTCTCTATTTTATCCTTTTCATCTCCCTCCAACTTGTCAGCCAGCTTGTCCTTATCATTGATCTGGTTTTTCATGTTGTAGACGTAGGTTTCAAGACTGTTCCGAGCATCAATCCTCTCCTTCACCTTCTTGTCTTCCTCCGCAAACTCCTCCGCCTCACGCACCATTCTCTCGATTTCCTCCTGGCTTAGACGTCCCTTTTCATTTGTAATGGTGATCTTTTCTGATTTTCCAGTGCCCTTGTCTTCTGCCTTAACATTCAGGATCCCATTTGCGTCAACTTCAAAGGTCACTTCAATTTGAGGGGTACCCCTTTTCAATCACCACATAACACACGAATCAGTTACAAACATCAATAGAAGCAACATTTCGACAGCACACTAGCATCATGAAGGCAGTTAACATACCTTGGAGCTGGAGGAATTCCTGACAGATCAAATTTCCCAAGCAGACGGCAGTCCTTTGTGAGACTCCTCTCACCTTCGAAAACCTACGTGTTAAGAAAAGAAATTGAATTACCGAAATCTACTTTTGGATTTAGAAGAGAAACGAGCATCATGCACTTTAAAGCAATCGAACAATGAAATCATACCTGAATGGAGACAGTAGTCTGCTGATCCTGGTAGGTGGTAAAGACCTGAGATTTCTTGGTAGGGATAACGGTGTTTCTGGGAATCAACTTAGTCATCACTCCACCAACAGTTTCAATTCCAAGGGTGAGGGGAGCCACATCCAGAAGAAGGATATCTAGATCCATAGTGCCACACAACAATTAGAAAGTGTAATGCTAACCAATTTACTTGTTCTATGAATAATGCTTCCAACTTCTGGACAAGTAATGAAAAAAAAAAAAAAGATTGCACACTACGTTACCTTTGGTTTCTTCACCGCCCTCTCCGCTCAAAATGCTTCCTTGCACTGCAGCACCATAGGCAACTGCTTCATCGGGGTTGACACCCTTGTTTGGCTCCTTTCCATCAAAGTAGTCCTTCAAAAGCTGTTGAACCTTTGGAATCCTTGTGCTTCCACCGACGAGAACAATCTCATCAATCTGACTCTTCTGTAAGCCAGCATCTTCCATAGCCTTCTTCACTGGTCCCATAGTCTTCCGGAACAAGTCATTGTTCAACTCCTCAAACCGAGCTCTAGTGAGTGGCTCAGAGAAATCAACACCATCAAAAAGTGATTCAATTTCCACGCGGACCTGATGCTGGCTACTGAGAGCTCTCTTTGCACGCTCGGCCTCTCTCCTCAGCTTGCCGAGTGCTCTATTGTCCTTGCTAATGTCCTTTCCGTGCTTTTTCTTGATCAATTTAATGAAGTACTCCATTATTCTCTGATCAAAGTCCTCACCTGGTACGGGAAGTAGATAAAGCATGCAATAACATCAGAGGAAAATTTTGTGGAAAGAATAATCTTTTTTCTATATAATAATTTCATCATATTAAGACTCATTAGAAAAATACCTCCAAGATGAGTATCTCCATTTGTAGCAAGAACCTCAAAAACACCATTATCAATTGTCAAGATACTGACATCAAATGTCCCACCTCCAAGATCAAAGACTAGAATGTTCTTCTCGCCACCTTTCTTGTCCAATCCATAGGCAATGGCAGCTGCAGTGGGTTCGTTAATAATTCTAGCAACATTGAGACCAGCAATGACACCAGCGTCCTTGGTGGCCTGCCTTTGAGCATCATTGAAGTAAGCTGTGTATTTGAAAGAATAAATGTGAGAATTTAAAAAATAAAAATTAAAAAAATGAAAAAAAATCAAGATTACAAACATAATATCCTGATTTGGGCCAGTTACCTGGTACAGTGACCACAGCATCATTTATTTTCTTTCCAAGGAATGCTTCCGCGGTTTCCTTCATCTTAATCAGAACCATGGCACTGATTTCCTCGGGGCTGAACACCTTAGTCTCACCATCCTTAATTTTCACCTGAATATAAGGTTTTCCATCCTTGTTGACAATCTTATAAGGAACGAGTTTCATGTCTCTTTGAACTTCCTTATCTTCAAACCTGAAAGAGGATACGAGTCAGACACCTTTAATTCCATAAATCGATATGTCCTAAATAAAAAACTAGAGGATGCCTCACTTTCTCCCAATAAGTCTCTTGACATCAAAAATGGTCCTTTCGGGGTTGACTGCTGCCTGATTCTTGGCAGCCTCACCAATGAGTCTCTCGCTGTCCGTGAAGGCAACCCACGATGGAGTGATACGGTTACCTTGGTCATTGGCTATGATTTCAACATGGCCATTCTTATAAACACCAACACAAGAATAGGTTGTTCCAAGATCAATCCCAATGACCGTCCCCAATTTGGTGGCTTCTTCCTTTGCAATGGAAATTGCAAATAGACATCCTATGTACAAATTTATCAATGTTAGTATACAATTGCATTTTTACAATACTGAAACTCAATAAATGAATTGATTTCTGCATTTACATATAATTGTGCTTGACAAATGACATGCCCGTTAAACAGAGTCATAAACTACACAAAATAATATATGGATCCGTTACTATAACCTATACTGTTTTCTTCCAAGTTTCAATTATCTGCGGAGGGAAACTGCATGATATTGTCGTATTCAAATAAAAAAATGAAAAAAACAACACTTTGAAAATACATACACAGAAACAATCTTAATCAACAAATTAAAAAATCTAATCACTTAGATTAATGATAAAAATCTGTATCAACAAACTAAAATAACAATATTAAAAAAAAAGTTATATTTTCACTGTTAACCAAATCCTCAGATGCATAGAAAAGCTTATTACATTACTCAAACGTGACTTCCCAACAAAAACGTCACTGAAATGCGGAACTGCAGAATTAATCCACAGCACGATTTACAAAATCACTAACAACTATTGTCTAACATCTCACTACACTCTCTAGTCTGATCTGCCGCTAGGCAACAGTTAACAAAACGAATCAGACAAAACAAATCCAAAAAGATTAAAACAAAGCGAGATCTGGTTGCATTCTTTTCACTGGCGCATTGAAACAAAAACAGATGAAAAGCTATAAAATAAAATAAAATAATCAGATCTATAATTAGGTCATGAAAATTACCGAAGGAAATAATAGCAAGAACAATCAGAGAACGGCGTGCCAACGAGCCAGCCATTGCTGTCTCTCAAACTACTCGTCCTCACTCTTTCTGTTTTTCTGGAGAAAATTAACGAA